CTCGTGATGAACTGCGACGACCAAGGACCGTCGGTGTTTTCTCTCGGAGCCCGTCGCGACGGACTCAGCGTCCCGCAGAGTCTTTTGGCGCGTCTGCTCGGCGATCGTCTCGATCCATCGATCATGTGGAGCTCGTCGATCGCGGAAAAGATCATCAAGGTCATCCAGAACGAGGCGTACGGTGCGGCCGACGGCATGTGATTCGTTTCAAACGGCTCAAGAATAAAAACGTTTGGTTCATGGTTTCAAACGCGTTTTAACCCTCCCGCGCCGGGAGCCAAAAACGGGTTTCAAACGGTCAAAATTGTTTCATTACGTGGCACTCTGAAAATCCTCTGTGGCCCAATGCACTTCTATGAGGAACTCATCGACGGCTGCGACGACGTCCTCCACGAGCGGAAAGTCCTCCATGTCGTCTACATCGTCCGTGCCGCAATATACCTTTACCCCGGTGGCAGGTGCAATAGACACCGCCCCGAGACTCACAAGATGGTCGCTATATTTACTTTCTCTACTTGCGCTCTGGACGCGTGCGAGCTGCTTGCCATTGAAGCTGATGGCGACTTGACGCTTGGCACTGCAGAAACCGATGCAGGAGCGCTTCGCCGAGGCGACCCGCTTGGTCGTCATGTGGTTGCGCTCGCCACTGACCGCACCCGTCGGCATCGCATGGACCTGGACGAGCAGCGGCGCCCAGTTGGAGACGCACGAGTCATCCATCATGGCCCACAGAAGATGCGGCTTGGTGCGCGAGTTGACGAAGAAATGGTTCGTGGTATGCGGGCGGGCTAGCCAGAGGGTCAACAGGAAGCCGGCGACGGAACAGTGGTCTGCATTGAGCGCCTCGAGAGCTGTATGGCACTGCGTGTTGATCGAGCCTTGACCGAGCTGCACGAAGGCGGTGCCGTACATTGCCGTCAGCCGCTGACGCATGCCGCAAAAAAGCGGGTCCGTGACGAATGCCTACGCTATGGACGTCGAGATACTGTACGTCGTGATTTTGGGCGACGCAGCGGGAGGTGCGCGCTCAAGAGACGAGGTCGCAAACGGGGTACTCGGTTTCGGTTGCGAGGGTATGCCTAGACATGAGATGCGTAAGGGGTGACTTGATGTACAGCGGTGGAGAGAATACAAGGAGGTTAATACTGGTAGGAACCTCTGGTTACACCAGCCCAGGGGAGATTAATTGTCTGTCCGTCTGTCTGTCCGTCTGTCCGTCTCCGTGTCCACGACTGCAGTGATTGGTAGAAATTGTGTCTGCGGCTGCAGTGATTGGTAGAAATTCAAACGATACTTTCTTCGCGGCGTGTCGCTGAAGCTCTTTCCCATTGGTCAGAATTCCCTGAAGCAACCGACGTATCCTACTCTTGTACCATCTTGGCGCCGTGTCGCTCGAGCTCTGTGGCGTTGCGCTCTGTGGCGTTGCGCCGGGGTTGTCTGTGTGCACCACCATGTCAGAAAAGCATGCACGCAACAAAGGCGAGCGACACGTGAAGAGAAGGCTGCGCGGGTCCGAAAGCAGCGCCAGAGCAAAGCCAACGCACGCGCCGCTCAAACGGCGAGCGACACGCCGACGCAAAAGGCTGAGCGGCTCGCAGGCACATTTTCTGTCCGTTTACAACGTTGTTGTCTCCTCGTCCCACTTGATGTGCGTCCCTCGCCACGCTTGGCCACGTGTCCAACGATCTGCCTGCGTTTCTTGATAGTATAACCCTCGCGCCGTCGTCACAGCTACACTTGCCAACACAGCTTGAGTCGGCCAATGCCACCACAGCAAGTCGTGGGAAGGGGACCGATCGATAATTTCTAATTCAACTACCTCGTTCTCGCCTTCAACGGCCACTTGCAACAACATGTCCTTCGCATTCCTCGAGCGCCTCATTGCACGAGGCGCCCGCAGGGATGTGCCCGGACCCGGCATCACGCTGGCTTTCCTGGCAGCAAGCAGCGTCAGCCTGGCCAACAGCTTCGCCGATAACACGCAAGATGCGGTCACAAACTGCATGCCCTGTAACTCACAACCTTCACATAACACAATGAGCGACGCGGAAGACACACGCTTCAGGTCTTTCGCACTTCCATCGACTCCATTGCTCAACGTTACCTCGAAAAGAGGTTTCCTACCAGCCCACTCCGCAGGAACCTAGTACTGGTAGGAACCTCTGGTTACACCAGCCCAGGGGGGATTAATTATTGTCTGTCCGTCTGTCCGTCTCCGTGTCCACGACAGCAGTGATTGGTAGAAATTGTGTCTGCGGCTGCAGTGATTGGTAGAAATTCAAACGATACCTTCTTCGCGGCGTGTCGCTGTACCTCTTTCCCATTGGTCAAAACTCCCCGATACAACCGATGTGTCCTACTCTTGTACTACTCTGTTCCATATTACTAGTCCTGTTTCGCTTTGGGATGGTCGTAGCTCGAGAACGAATATGAATTTCGCCACGCGGATTGTTCCTATACAATAATGTGTCCTTCGACTCTTACACGAATTTTTGTCTAGCGCCATAGCTCTTGTTTTGGTTGGGAACGGTGGTCTCAAAGTTGGTGACTTCGGCGCAAAATTCCACAAACCACCGTATTTGATTTAAGTATAGGCCAATGGGAAAATCGGTGACCTGACCATCATTTGTGGTCTTTGGGGATTGGTCAAAAAGAGAAACGGATATGATTGGACAAAATGAGCGAGCCCAGATTTTAAAATTATCTTAGATCAGACAGTGGTATTGCCCTCCAGCTCTTCCAAGGCCTCCGTCGCAGCGAGCCAGGCTTCGAACGGTCCGGTCGGAGTAGTTGAGCTTCCGTGCAACGGCACCGAAGACGCCGCGCGGTAGTCGACCGGTAGATCGCTCGCCACCCTGAGCGTCAGCACGCGCTCGCAGGGCGAGCAGTACGAGGGCACGTTGAAGCGGTGTGAGGTCCTTGGCCATAAACGAGCATTGCTACCCAAGACTGCCACCACCAAAATGGCACCATTGAGATAATTCATTTTTACAGGTCTGATTTTTCACGATTCTCTCTAAAAATGAATAAAAATGGCCTTGATTGTTTAGCCATTATCCTCCAACCTATACTAAAACCAAATACGGTGGCCCTCGCCGATTTTCGATTTCATGCCCATTTTTAAAAATCGCGTTCGTGGTGAGAATGAGCCGTTCCACGACATCGATTGTCACGGGTACAGACGGAATCAAGGGCTTTCGATTGGTGCAATCCGCGCTGCCTAATTCCAAGATTTGGAATTTTGGCGCCATCTCAAAGAGAAACAGGACTAGTAATATGGAACAGAGTAGTACCATCTTGGCGCCATGTCGCTCGAGCTCTTGGTGTTGCGCTCTGTGGCGTTGCGCCGGGGTTGTCTGTGTGCACCACCATCTCAAAAAAGCATGCACACAACACCTGAAGAGAAGGCCGCGCGGCTCCAAACGCAGCACCAGGGCAAAGCCAAGGCCCGCGCAGCCCAGGAGACGAACGCGACGTCGGACGACGAGGCTACGCGGCTCCAAAAGCAGCGCCAGGGCAAAGCCAAAGCACGCGCCGCTCAGGCATGCTCAAAAGGCGAGTGAGACGCCCGAAGAGAAGGCCGCGCGGCTCCAAACGCAGCGCCAGGGCAAAGCCAAGGCCCGCGCAGCCCAGGAGACGAACGCGACCCGCTTCGACGCCGAGCTTCAGCTCGACAACGTGTACATCATCACGAACGCGCTGGTCTCTAGCCACGACGATTTCGGTCGTAAATTCGACCCGCACCCCGACTTCGGCCTCCGATTGTTCTCGGACACCATCGTCCTCTGGGTGGACGACGACCTCCCCATCCCGGAGATCAATGTCTCAGGAGACATTGCAGCGATGCCAACGATCCCCGAGCTCCAAGTCATCGAAGACGTTGGCATGCTCGCGATCGGCCACTCACTTGAACCCAGCGCCGACGACAAGAGCTTTGCCACGCTGGTGGATGACTCGGCAGGCGGCTCTCGCGCCACCATTCGTCTTACGTTGTACGGCAAGCATGCCCGCTCAGCGACACAAGATTGGGTTGGCCAGTCCCTCTTGCTTCAGCGTTTCAAAGTCAACGATGGCGCCATCTCAGCCTCCGCCCATACATGCATTTCCATTGCTGCTTCGTTGCCCGAGGCCAAGCGTCTCCTCCACTGGTACAGCACTCAGTGAGCACATTCTCAGCCTCCTTGTACATTGTGCATCGACTGCATTTAACCACAATCATGCTTATCTTTTCATTTTTCACTCTTTTCCTGCTTCACAAATGGGGTACACTTCCGTTTCACGTTCCCTCAAACAGAGGTTTCCTACCAGCCCACTCCGCAGGAACCTAGTATGACCTCAAATCCAGGGATCTGATTGGCTGAGCGGCCCGGCCAAACTGCATCATCGAGACTTTATAAAATCGTTTATGAAAGGTATAAGAATGCGTAATCACAATCCACCTAATTCAAAAATATGATACTTTAGAGGTTTGTATGACTTGACACAGGATATGAACTGCGAGGGGTAAAAGTGTCTCAGCGGTCGGGCCGCTCAGCCAATCAGATCCCTGGATTTGAGGTCATATTAGTGAGTTTGCGATTTTCAAAATTATACTAAAAATGATACTATCTCGATCGATTCTCACAGGTCACTGTGAAAAAGCATAATCTATAATAGAATTCTATATTATGAGCGGCCTCCGGAGCAGGGATGGCGAGTGAGTGGGCCGTGAATAGGTTTGTCCCACTCAGAGTACACTCTCTCTGAGTGAGTGCCAAATCACTCAGCGGGGTGCCTGAGTGAGTGTGTGTGAGTGGGTTGAGTTAGTGTGTGTTGGCCCCACTTCGATCCCCCGCAAAGGGTCCTTTTTCGCACATACAGTGTACTCTACGGAACGTCCTGGCTTCCAATTGTCGTGGCAACGCATGGCTGAGGGAGAGGAAGAAAATACCAGAGCACCGGAGGAACCATCACCGTTCCATGCCTCGAATCGACACCATGTCGTCCAACACCAGCACCGCGACGACCGCCCCGACGCTTATTGCGATTACTGGCAAGTCGTCGTGGGTTTGAAAGCATTTTGGTAAGCTCGAGGAAGACGCCAAGTCCATCGTTGTGTGTCGCGTGTGCCTCAAGTCGAAGCTACCACTCCGAGATTGTCGCGTCGCACTTCATGCGTCGAACTCATAGAATGCGATCCGCCACATGAAGCTTGCTCGACTTCCTCGAGCGCGTTCCATGCTGTGACCTTACCGACAACTCGAAGGAGAAGGCTGCTCACAGAAACTGGGTGCATCTCTTTTGACGTCAACCTCTGGTGGCGCAAATACGGCTGCCACCATCGATTCGTCGAGCGCCTTGCAGCTCGTGAGCTCGCGTGTCCGGACTCGTACGCCCTCCAGGAGCGCGTCTTCTCGCTCTGCAAGCTGATCGACTCGCCGTTGCGACAGAAACTCGGCAACGCCAAGTTCGAGATGCTTCTTGTGCTGGCATTCAACAAGAAGTTCATCCGCATGTGCTCAGATGACAGATCCCTCGCCGAGACCCTCGGGTCGACGACGTACACGTCGCAAGCCACTGCTACGCTCATCAACTTCTTCGACCTCGACGCCAGCAGACTGAGTCGGCTATCGACATTGCTGATACGCGGCGTTGGCCCCCGCCGAGAACACGCCATCGAAGAATCGCAAGATTTGTACCGCTGAATAGGCATGAGTTAACTCTAAGTAGCTGAGTGCACTCACTATTGTCGTTTGCGAGTTGTGAGTGAGTGCGTACTCACTCACAACGGAAATGGGCCCCACTCGCCATCCCTGCTCCGGAGGCCTTCTATAATAGCCCCGAAAAACCTGTCGAAGAATGATATTTGTGGGAATTGATATCGGACGATACAGCGAATAAATAATCTCTGACAGTAAAAAGGCGAGTGATGCCGATTGGATGAAATATGGGGCTTTTCAGCCAACCAGGTACCCTTCCTTTCATTTGCCCATTTGCGTCGTAGCGCCGACAGCGACGGACCAACCGAGCGCGGACCATACCATCGCCTCAGCAGTCGCTTGCTGGCACCACCGGCTCCATCGAATCGTAGAAGAGGTATGCTCATGAACATATACAGCGCCCCGTTTCCGCGCAGCGGCCTCTGCGCTTGGAGGTGCGTGATCAGAGCGAGGAGGAGCGCGCGCGATCGAAGACGCGGCATGCATGGGAGACGACGAGGAGGCTCTTGGGAGTTGTTGAGTTGGAAACATTCTACTACGTAGTAGTACATATGTCGATAGCATCGCACGAGAAATGGGCTTCCACGCGACAGTACATGCCCGCGCGCCTCCACTGTCGAGCGCACCAGCGCAAATGAGTGGCTCTCGACCCGAACCTCTCACCGAAGGCATGCGCTGCCATAGTATAATTTTTGTGTCCGGCGGTTTTCGCAAACGGAGTTTTTCTATTATACGATCGAAATTCGACTATCTCGTATAGTATAATTTTATAGTATAATCACGAATTTCGCAAACTCTCTACAAGGTTCCTGTGGAGGGTGCTGGTAGGAATGCATATATGACCGTTTGGTGTTCACAACATGCTTTTTGTATAAAATGTTTTATGTACGTGAAGTTGACAAGTGAGAGAGTCGATTCTTCTCAAGCCGTGCCGCTTTGGCCGCGGCTTCTTCGGGCGGACGTACGGTGCGTCGCGTCATTTCGGTTCAACTTCATCTTGGGCACCGACCTTAGGTGTTCTGCGTTGCACAATGCGGGCCTTTTTCTGCACTTGGCCAATGAGAACGTAGCTGCGGTTTCATTTTGTCCAATCAAATACTGCACGGATAGCGGACAGACAGACAGACAGAGACCGCATTAATCGCCTGTGGGCTGGTGTAACCAGGGGTTCCTACCAGTATTAACCTCCTTGTATTCTCTCCACCGCTGTAATAGCATACCAGCTAATACACCGGGTTTCGCCTTGGCCATCGGATTGGGCGGCCCCAGAAGGCCGAGGCCACGGTGACTCGCAGCCGTGGATGTGCGACTTCATGCGCTGGGCGGGCGCAGTCACCAGCGTCTTGCACGCCTTGTATTTGCGCTTCGCCGTCTTCCTCACGCCTGGTACTGGTAGAATAAGCTCACCAGACGGGTCGACGACAGGGTCCGCCGCATACTCAACGCGTCTACATACAGTATGTATCCATACGTAATCTACGTACTACCAGAGAAGTGTACCTTGGTGATGGTGCTACGACCAAATATTGAGTTCTGTTTGTTTGGCAAGAACATCTTTTGACAACGTTGATCCATGAGAGAGATTTCGCAAGTTATTTCCCGTTTCCGTCTGCGATTTTATCCTGTCATAAATTATTAGAAATGGGAAGTCTCTGAAAACTAATCGTGAAATTCGCCCAAATCGATCGAAAACGCGGACCGAAGGCTCCCGTCTTCGTTCAACAGGTTAAAGTACGTCAAACCGTGACCGAGGCTTTAACCTTGTTTAACCTGTCGGCATTTCGCGCCCACATCATTTTCATTTTGGCGCGATGACTGACAACCGGCCGCTCTCGTCGGACGGCGACCGCTCCCACCGCCCCGATCACGCGCTGCATGTCGGGGTAGATGATGAGCTCCACGTCGCCGTCGTCCCTGCGCTTGCGTCGCTGCGTAATGCGGCAGGTCTCAATCTTAGATCTATCGATAAACACGAAGACGTTCGTTAGAGGCGAGCCTTTAGCGACAATCGCGTCCTTGTACTTCTGGAGGCGCTTGGCGACGAGTGTCTGCTGGAAGAAGAGGACGCCGGCCCACTTGTCGTAGAGAGCATCGAGCACATAGTTGTGTATGCGGCACAGAGACTGACGCGACCGACCGAACACGATCATCATATCGCAGTACCGCCGAGGGTAGGCCAAGCGGTTGAGAGCAACGCAAAGGGCTTCGACAGCGAGGCATCGATCCCGACCCTGGGTGATAACGACGGCCGGGAGTTGAAGGGCATGTGAGAGGCGCGTCAAAGAAGCCACGTCAAAGCGGAA